GGGACGAAACCGATGACTAGTACCTGCGTGCCACATGCAAAGCATTTGTCGAACGTCTGAAGGACTGTGTGAAGGCTAAAGGAGATCATTTTGAGAAGCATTAACATTTTTTGTATTGTCATGTTTGTAGTAAATAATATTGATAATTAGAATTGATTTGTGAGAATTATTGTCAAAATGCCATTGAAAATTTAGTGCACCAGTAATTTTGCCCCCACCCTGTAAGTAGGAATTGCTCAACGGACACCTCTGAATCACGAAGATTTTATGTGGGCGGAATCACATTGTTATTGGAAATACTCTGGCCTGGCATCGACTCGATCCTTGATGTTTGTCCTCCGACGATGATCCTACTGTATCAATCGGGCCCGATCTCTTCCTCCCAGCGGGCCAATACGACCCCCCCCCCCTGTGACGTGTCGAGGATTCCTCAACGCACGCTTGACCCAGGTTGGGAGGCTGCCCTCGGGTGATCGCGGAAAAAGTTGCTATACCGCCCCAGGCTTATTCCGATCAAAAGACCTTTGTGCACGTGCCCTAATCCAACTGCGCGCTCCAATGTTGACAGCGCGCCTACTAAACGAGGTTACGGTGGAAACTAGGAAACCATATTGATGGGTCGTTCTTGTTAGAATATCTTGTTGTCGAGATTGGGATTCTCTTTGGGATTCCTGAGGCCGATGTCATAGTTTGCGAATCGCTCGATCCGAGCGTTGCGCCAGCGAATCGAACGTTGCACCAGCGAATCGAACTTTGCACCAGCGAGTCGAACGATGTACCAGCGACTCAATAGTGGCGGGACCCAACGTTCAAAGGAAGCCCGCCACTTTCGAACAGTGTCACGTGACAGTGGACCCTTTTTGAAAGTGGCGGGACTTGACAGCGGATCGAGCGATTCGCAAACTATGACATCGGCCTGACGTGGAACTACAGTATACAATTCTGTTTCATCAGCACATCTCTCAACAATTAAGGGCAAATTTCGATCGCAGAACATTCAGGATTCATTCAATTGAACCACACTAATACTCTTCTTCTGTAGCATAACCTGCGTATAATAAAATCTTTATCCTACTTCATAATAATGCTGTTATAGGAGGACCAAAAGATGGAACGACGGCATAAAAGGGCGGATGAACTCGATCATGCGCGGCAGTTGTGTAAACGCCTGGAGGAGGCAATGATGGAAAAAACCGCCGAATGCCTCGGAATTACACCAGACGTCATCTATACTGAGGCAAAAATGAAGGTAAGTATGGTATGGGCGGAAGTGGTGTAGTGGCAAGTGGCACGCTTACCACGCGAGCGGTCCGGGGATCAAATCCTGGGTCGTGAGTCGCCCGGGCCAACCAAGCCTTCCATCCCTCCGGGGTCGGTTAATTGGTACCAGTCAACCGTGCGTTGCGCAGGTTTCAAAGGGGGAAGTATCTGTTTTTTTTTTCGAAAGGAGGTGCATTTGGTGTTTGTGAAAGTGGAAATGTTGAAAGAATGTTGTACTTTGGAAGGTGAACGGGTCCTGATGGTGGGAGTTCGGGTAATAACTGACGGGTTTTGTGACGATTTTGCCGAGAACGTCACGAAAAACAAAAGTTGAGAAATTAGAACATTTCGCGTTTCTTCTCTTCCGACCCCTACCTCGCCCGACGGTGGTTCCAGAGGGGAACGTGGGTTGGTGTTGGGATTTTGTCGACTGGTGTCAGAATCAAATTCCATAGAAACAGCCATGATGTTGAGGGGTGGTTGGAGGCGGGGGGGGTCTTGTCCATGGAATCCACTATGGGTGATGCTGGAGGTGGGGTCTCGTGTCCAGAGCCCTCCTCAGAGAGAGAATCGTCAAATTTACGAAATCGAAACATCTCACGATTCCTCCTGCTAGCAATTCTTGGCGCGTCTGCCGTATGGGATCACGAGACATAAAAAAATGTAATAACGAATTGTAGGGCCAATTTCTGATCAAAAATGTAATAATTATTTGTAGTACTAATTTTTCCGCCCAAAATTGTTGCCTCCAAGGCCGATGTCAGACTTTGCGAATCGCGCGATTCGCTAGCGTCCGCGGTCGCGTTGCGGTACCAGCCAATTGAGTGATTCACTGGCCGCGACGCGACCGCAGACGCTAGCGAATCGCTCAATTCGCAAAGTCTGACATCGACCTAAACTCGTTAAGAAACGTATAAGATGAACAGTTGTTGAAATCATAATTTTATTTATTCATTTGTTTATTTGTTGCACGCTTAGGTGCGCTACATTAATTCGCATCTGAACCCAATAAAATTAGGGAACACTGAATGCATACAAAGTTGCCGTAAAACGCGGTTACTGCTAATCTGCATATAAATTTCTGCTTAGATGGTCAAATTTATTTTACGTTCACTCTCAATTTTTATTCGTAGTTAAATATATTAATAATTATTATTGGCCTTACGAATGGAAAACTTACACATCCTTCCTTTCCCTCGAGAAATTCGGTTTGTGGGGGTGGGGGGGGGAGTTCCTTTTCTCATATATAATAGTATTCAACACATTGTGTACCGCGTGCACCACCATGTAGTGCACGATTCCACACGGAAGAACAAAATGACACAAGCACTATTTGGGGCTCTGTTGTTGCGTTTTTGTGTACACATGATGTACCAAATAGTAGCTTCGACCAGGGTCAACCGTCACGTTCGAACATTTTCGGGATTTTTGCGACCCCCCCCCTCTCGAGGGGGTCCAGTTGCGACCCCCCCAATACACAGTTGCGACCCCCCAATACAACCAGCCTTCCCCCACCGCGACCTCTCCCTCTTCTATAGTATTTGACTCTG